GGCAAGAATGTGCATATTCTCTCCTGAATCTCACTTTCTCTGGCTCAGTCTCACTGTTCTCTCTCCCACACACAAATCCTGGCTACTCCAGGGCTCACCCTGAAACCTATGCTGACAAACTACCTGACCTGGCAAATTCAGAGATCCCATTTTTCCTTTTCTGGAATCTTCTGGGATTGGATATGAACTTTGCTGATAGCACTTAATACCCTTTCTTACTGGCCTACTCTCCTTCATCCACTATTCCTTGAACAAATTCCCAGAACACAGGAATTAATCCTACAATCTGAGTTGATGGAAAGTCTCTAAGAGCAAAGGCTCTGTCTACATCTCCAGCCTTGTCTTCGACCATTTCAGAGCCCAACGGAGACATTTCTCATTCTCATGCTTGCCCCTACTCATTGGCACATGCTTTACCTGCTGTACCACTTAGTTCCCTCCTGCCTGGTAAAACCAGATCCACTGCTTCTCATGGGACACCATCCCTGACCGCTTCTCTGCTCTCTCTTCAAGTACCTTCATTTTCTCGAGTTTGTTGTGGGAAAGCAAGACCTGAGTCTAATTAGCATCCTATCCCCGGCATCTAGGACATGCCGGGCACAATGAATGCAAGGTGCATCCTTCCACCTCCCCCAGTGCTTTTGCAAAGTACACTTCTCTGTCATTCACCTGACTGCCACGGGGAAAAGCTCTGAAAAATGCTTGAACTTGCAAGTGGCACAGAGAACACCCCCAGTCACACAACTCTGTGAAACCCCATCCTGAAGACCGACTCCATACCTCATCACACAGTCCATAAAAACCACATCAGTTGTCTGCTGTACGAATGGGAATTCTCAGCCTTCACTAAGTGATTTCTGACATCTCAGAACACAAATTCAGCCATTAGCCAAAGAAAACAAATAGCTTTAAAAAGCAGCTGCCTCCCATTCCTCAGCTTTTATCAGTCTTTTTTAAACCCAATGTTTAGAAAGCATTCACTCTAACAAAATAAATGAAGCTTCATCATACTACACATTTATCTCGTTTTATCATAAACCATTCAGCATTATCTCTATAGAGTGGTATTTTGATAAATGTGGAGAATACAGTTCCTGTCACTAACCAGCCTTGTATATATACCAGTCGAAGATTCAAAAGGGAACGTGCTTACCAGCTACACAATTGTCTGTTGTAGGACCCAAGTAACCACAGCTTTAATCAAGTACTTCCCCACCCCTCCTCCCAAATCCCAAATGTGGAGTACAGACACATTTCCATAATACAGGAGGACTTTATAAGTTAATTATATCCAAAAAAATTGGAGGAAAAAAACCAACTAATTATTCTCCCTTTTTAACTAATAAAAGCTATGATTTTTATGGAAAAGCAATGAAAACACTAGATAAGTATCTCTGCTGTGGATTAGCAGAAACGCATAAGGATATTCCACTTTCTATGCCAACATTAATTAGTGCCCCGCTCCAATGTCTTCTTGCCTTTAATTTAAATGTAAATCAAGTGAATGTTATATTTTAGATCCTCTCCACATTCTTATTGACAAATAAGATAAGAGGAACTTACCAGCAGAGACTAGGTCTTTCCACAAGCCAACTAGCAGCATGATAATGCATAATTATTATGGGATAAAGATTATTATGGGATAAAGCTAAAAAGCCCTAATGGAAACATTTGGATAAGGAATAGAAGATCAAAGGGGATATGAAAACAGATATACATCCTAACTAGAGTCTAAATGACAACTTTCCACACCTCCTCTGACTTTGATCCAATAAACATTTATTGAACACCGACTGTTTGCCAGGCTCTGCTAGGTGCAGGGGATACAAATATTAAGATAGAATCACAAGCCTATCCTTCAGAGTTTGGGTATTCTCTGGCTACAAATGTAGTACTCATAAGTTACATAGGTACATAAAGCTGATCCTGCACCGTCTGACAGAGAAGGCTTTAGTCTTAAGTTCCCATTTAAATTTAAATTCATACCAGGCACATCTCGACTGCTCACTAGCCCCATGTGGTTAGTGGTTACCAGTTATACTGGGCACATGGGCATCAACACATAGAGCTAAGAATATATTGAAAGAATATGTACATCATCACAGAACCTTCCACTGCACAGACTCTGCTCAGACACTAAATCATTGATCTCTATCACTTACTGATCCTATAACACTAAGAAAATCATTTAGTTAGCCTAGGCATCTGTTATGACACAGACACAACTAAAATGTCCTTCAGTAAAGGAATGGCTAAACAAATTATAATCTATCCATACAATGGAATGTTATGGAGCAATTAAAAAAATAAACACAATAGGTCAGTATGTATTAGCACACAAAGATCTCCACAACTTAATATTGATAGCTGGTTGGATTAAGAAATATACAATGTGATACCATTTAGGTAAAACACATTCATATTGAAATGTACCACATTTTCTAGAGACCTATCTTAAATACACAAATATACAAAAACAAATGGATTGACCAAACAGATAGGCAGTTATTCTTACAGTGGTGCCCAAAGGGGATTTCGACCACATAATAAATGTATATAAAAATTAAAACAAGCTACTGGAGGATAAGGTATTAATATTTTCCTTACTAAGAGAAAGATAGTAAATTTAATTGCCACATCATCTATACTTTCCAGATGCTGATAAAAGTGCTCTGAGATAAATGTGTAAGGCTTTTTATATCTAAAGATTCTATGATGGATAGAGTAGAAAGTTTATAATTCATCAGGTCTTAAGTTCTTGAAAAAGTTTAAAATCCACAGAGCAAGCAAACACAGTTGATACCATGAATTTGAAAGCAATCTGTGATTACTGAAAATGAATAAGTTCTCCCGTGTGCTCAAAGTCATTCATGGACCAGACAGTTGGGGTGGGGTGGGTGGGGAGAAATAAGAGACTCAGTTTCCATCCTTAAGCAACCTACAGACTAATGGGAAGGCACACAGAAAGATCTTAAAACATAATGGCATACAGGTCATGAACTAGAAGTACAGGGAGATACAAGAGCATACAGCAGATATGGAAGGAGAATAGGAATCAAGTAGACAAAATATGTATTGTGGGGAAGACGGCAATGATTCAGGCAAAGGATAAAGGTAGGAGTGTGGAGATCTAAAAGAACGTATATGCCCCCACTTGGACGGGGGTAGTGTAGTTGAAAGAGGAGGGAGACAGAGTCAAAACTATGCAAGGCTTCATAAGCCATGGTAAAGAACTTGGATTTTATTTTAAAGATGGTGGGAAGTCACGGTGGTTTTAAATATGGCAGTGACATGATGAGTTCTACTTCTGTAGAAAGCTCAGGGTAGAGAATGGGAGACCAGAGTACTAGGCTTGGCAGAACGTAATGTGAGCCCCTAGACTGAGAGTGATGGCAACAAAGAGAATCTTAGACAGACCAAGGGGACAAAATAGGTGTGGTTTGGATTCAATTGATGGAGGAAATAAATATGCTCAGCTGTCCCAGCTGGAGAGATAGGAACTTAGCACATTTCTTTGTCTTTTTTTGGGACACCTGGGTGGCTCAGTCAGTTAAGAGTCTGTGTTTGGCTCAGGTCAGGATCCCCAGGGTCCTCAGATTGAGCCCCATTAGGCTCCCTGCCCAGCGGGGAGTCTGCTTCTCCCTCTGCTTCTCTCTCCGCTCCTCCCTCTGCTTGTGTGTGCTCTCTCTCTCTGTGTCAAATAAATAAAATCTTTTAAAAAAAAATGTCTTTTTTTTTAATCCTAAAAATCTTCATCTTTTTTTATAGATCCACAATCCTTTATCTGTGATCCCCAAATCCAAAAAGCTCTGAAAATGGACAGGACTTCTGTACGATGGTGGCAAAACCTGATTTGATTTAACATGAGCTTCTAATTCTTGCCCTATCCCATTCTGCAAGAATATTCTACATATTTCATTATAGAAATATTAGCATCTGTGACTATGGGGTACAACTGGAAAAGACATTAGGTTTGTGAGGAAACAGTTGCTGTATGTACTATGCTACCTTTAAAAAATCTGAATTCAGCTATGCATTCGGCCCCCAGGGTTTCTGTGAGGAACTGTAGATGGTAACTTGACCATATTCACTTTCCAGCTTTCACAGTGATACATACCACTAGTGACCATACAGACCATAAATTTGTGCCTGTGTTTGGTCAGGGAGGCGGCATATGGGTCAATTACTATTCTTGACTGTGTGATTCTGGAGTTAAGAATGCATATGTTTATTCTAATGGCTGACTTTTAGACATGCATCAAATAAGACAGGAAGCATCCATGTTTAGGGAGTTTTCATGCCACTGTGGAGAAAGTGCTACAAGGCTTAACCTCATGTATCTCTTCCCCTGGGGGCTGATAACTTGTTTCTAACAAGGTGTGTGCACCAGAGGCATCAAAAGGAATCAATCCCAGGCCTCTACCTACAACCCATCAACATTCATTCATTTTTTAAAAAACCCATTGGCACAGTACTCTGCGAGGGGATTTGGAGACAACAAATAAATGACATGTGATCCCAAACTGTTCTCAGGGAAGTTGCTCCAAAGGAGATGTTTTATAAATGTTTGTTAAGATAGTAAACTAGAAATAAAGAGAGTATCAGTCTGTAACATTAAAAATGAGGTGAGGAAAAATAAGCTGCTAATCGCTTTTGAGTTGAGAGCTTGAAATCAGGGAGAAAAGTGTATCTAGGGAAGCAAGTGCTTCGATGGATAAGATTTGGAAAGACAGCTGGGGAAGGAAAAAAAAAATCAAAGCATATCTTCCTGATTGTCTAGTGATAGAACTCCCCCCATCAGGACCCCTTGAGAAACATCATTAATAACTTACCTGATGCACCAAGCAATGTGTGGAGTTACAATGATGTTCACTTTTGGAGCAACGCTAACCTGGAAGCAGCCTAGTTTTCTTTGAGTTGCAAAGATAGTAAAGCAAGGAGGTTGTTGGTGGTTTTACACACTTTTGCAAGAGTAGAGAAACTGACCAGAAAGGTCTTACCTTCAACACAAGAAGGCTGAGCCCGCGTTGTGCCGGCAACCTGCCCTGGGAAGCAGGAGCACTTGACTGTTTGTGATCGCTCTTCTATGCGGTTCTTGTTACAGCACCTGTGGACAGCGACCACCTCACAGGTCCCTTGCTTGATTTGGTGGTGACCTGATGGATAAAACAGACCCAGTGCTGTTAGGAAAAGAATGAAACTACAAAGTATGTGAACGATACCGTGACCACATTTTCCAGCTTCCTGCACCATGCTTAAGAATATTTGTAACTTTTTGTTTGGATGTCATTTCAAATATTTATAAAGTTGTTAAGAATATTGCAAAATATTCCTATAAACCTGTGGTAGACAAAAATTCAGCCCCCAGGACCTTCAACCCCCGGTATCACACCCATTATGTTACTTACCTGGCAAAACAGATTTTGCGGATATAATTTAAATCACTAACTGGGGGATTCCTGAGTGGCTCAGTCGGTTAAGCGTCTGCCTTCAGCTCAGGTCATGATCCCAGGTGCATGGGATCAAGCCCGGCATCAGGCTCCATGCTCAGCGGAGAATCTGCTTCTCCCTTTCTCTCCCTGCTTGTGCTTGCGCACTCTCTCTCTCCAATAAATAAATAACATCTTCAAAAAATAAAATAAAAATAATTAAATTACTAACTGGTTGATCTTAAGGAACTTGAGCTAATGTGCTCACATGAGCTCTTAAAATCAGAGAGCGAGAGCAGAAGGGGAAGTCAGATTGAAAACATGAGAAGGACTCAAAGCATCACTGCTGGCTTAAAGATCCGGGGTTCAAAAGGCAAGGAAATGGTGACTTCAGTCCTACACCCACAAGGAACTGAGTTCAGCCAACAAACTGAATACATGTGCAAGCAGATTCTTCTCCAGAGCTTCCATAAACGAATGCAGGCCTGCTGATACCTTGATTTTAACCCAGAAGTCAGACTCTGAACAGAGAATCCAGCTACACTGTGCCAGACTTCTGACCTATAGAAACAAGCCACTAAATTTGTGGTGATTTGCCACAGCAGCAATAACTAAGACCTTTTATCCAGATTCGCTATTGTTAACATGTGACCCTCTTTGTCTTGTCATTCACTCTCTTTCTCATATCTTTCTGAGCCATTTGAGAGTAACTTAATGTGATACCCCCTGACCCTTCAGTAACACTTCAGTGGTTATTTCCTAAGAATAAAAACAGTCTCTTACATAATTACCAAAATCAGGACATTTGACACTGATACAATGCTATTTACATGATGCTATTACATGATCTGCAGTTTTGCCAGTTGTCCTAATAACGTCTTTTCTAGCCTTTATTCCCCTTGTTCAGGACCCAACTCAGGGACCTACATTGTATTTAGTTGTCACATTTCTTTAGCCTTCTTTAGTCAGAAAGTATTTTTTAGCCTTGATCTTTCTTAACCTTGACATCTGTCAAGAATACATGCCAGTTATTTTGTAGAATGTCCCTCAGTGGGTCCAATAGCCCTGGTGGAGTCTTCAAAGACTCCAACCCCAGCCTACAGCTTAAATTCAGTCTGATAACCCTGAGGCAGGAGTTATATATGTTGACTGTTTTAAGCTTCTAAGAATTGGGCTAATTTGTTACACAGTGATAGATAACTAATTATCATCTCTGGCTATAGCAGGATTGGAGAGACTTACCTCTGCTCTGATAAAAACTATGTAAACAAGGTTGTGTAGGCAATGTTTAGAAATTATTAGTAAAAGACAACCTTTTCAAGCACCCTCAATTTTCACATATACTATTTACATATAAATTGTTCTGTGAATTACAGGCAATCTCATCTACTCATTAAGACAGGTTTCCCCAAAGATTCCCAGGGGCTAATGCTTTGTTTGGTTTCTGTTGGTGGGTGCATGTACTTCAAATCACAAAACTAGCTTAAAAATCTGAATTATGGAATATTTTTAATCGATAAAACAAGCCCTTCCACAAAACAACTTCTATATCATTCTGAAAAATTTCTAGCCCTTTTTTCTATGTTAACTCTGGGTGGAAGCAAAATTCAATCACTGGCAAGAACAAATACTAAGGCAAAATTTCATTTGTAAAACACATAAAAGCAGAACCAGTACCCACAGAATCAAGCCACCATCCTGAAAGTTTTCCATCTACTACAGAAGAAAGCATAAAGTGATTAAAACTATAAACCCAATTAAATGTACACAACAAGAATGCTGATTTCCAGGGCACCTGGGTGGCTCAGTTGTTAAGCGTCTGCCTTCGGCTCAGGTCATGATCCCAAGGTCCTGGGATTGAGCCCCCCTTTGGGCTCCCTGCTCAGCGGGAAGCCTGCTTCTCCCTCTCCCACTCCCCCTGCTTGTGTTCCCTCTCTTGCTGTGTCTCTCTGTCAAATAAATAAAATCTTTAAAAAAAAGAATGCTGATTTCCCAAAGGTAGTTGCATACAATTGTAAAAAATAAAACTAAATTGTAATTACAGTGTCGGGAAAGTAGGGTGGGCACTTAGTGCTGAGTAAGCAGAACAGCAAGGACTGGGAAGGGTTCCAGAGGAGACCCTGTCTCTGGTTTCCGACTGCAAGTAAACACCTTCAGGTCAAACGTTCCCTGGATGACTAGCCATGTGGGGCGGGGGGCCCAGGGTAAATTCATCCCCAGTCCTCCAACAGTGCCTTCCCCTGTTGGCCACTGTCATAGTTCGCTCAGCTGCCACAACAAAGGACCACAGGCTGGGTGGCTTAAACAACAGATCAAGGTCCTGGCCAATTCAGTTTGAGGGCATTCAGGTGAGGGCATTCTTTGCAGCTTGCAACAAGCGGAAGGGGGCAGGGACAGAGTGCTCTGCTGTCTTTTTTTTTTTTTCCTCATAAAAACACTGGTTCTCCCAGATTAGGGCCACACCCATACCCATATGACCTCATTTAACCTTGATTTCCTCTTCACAGTCTCTGTCTCCAAACATTGTCATATTTGGGGGTTAGTGGTTTAACATCAGAATGGGGGGGCAAATATTCAGTGGAAATAACAGCCATCCTGCATTAGATTTTCAAAGACCCTGAGAGTCATGAAGGCAGCACTAAACCTCACTAAGAAAATAAAAGAAATGCATTTTAGTAACAGCATAGTTGAGAAGTGATTGGGATATTTAATATTATAGTTGGATTAGAATTTTGCTATTTAGATAACCATCCACAAATGCAAACAGATTTTTTTTTCCTACTCACATTTGTCTTTGAATAATCAGCTTGTGTAGTCTAGGATTTTATTCACTTATATAACACGGACTATGATACCTCATTGATTTTTAAGATACAATGTTTTTCTCATCTTTAAACATTTCAGGTCTCACAACTGATAGTATCTTATCATTGTAATTGGCAATGCTTTTCTTAGAAATACACAAAATCGCGGTGTATCTCACAATTAATGGCATCTTAGATTTGATAAAATAGGGTAGGTGGCAGGCACTGTTTTAAATCCTTTACAAATACTATCCTATCTGATCTTATAAAAATGCTACGATGTAGGTATTCTTTTTATTCCTTTTGTACATTTAACAAAATGTACAAACACTAATTTGCCCAAGATCACACAACCAGAAACTGAAGAGGACAGATGCAAACTCAGGCGGTGTCTATGCTGTCACAGAGTGCAGGGGAAAGACAGTAACCGATATTTCGCTAAGGGGAGCCAAAATGGTGTCTCCAGCTCAGCAAACCACAAGATATGGTTCAGTTTCCCACTGAAAACAACTTCCCTACACAACGGCAGTGTGTGTGGGACTCCATACAGACAGTTTCTAGTCATTTGTGTACCCTGGACTTTGGTCTTTGAATAAGAACGTGCCTCATTTCTTTGTAATCTGTAGTTCCTGACACAGGAGGTAAGTATTCAGAAACAAGTATTTAAAAATTGCTCAAGGAATGATGGCAGAAGACAGGGATCCATTGTGGGCTAACATGCACAGAAATCACAGATGATATACTTGGCTTGAGCAGCTCATCTTATATTAGGGTTCTCCAAAGAGAAATCTCGAACCAACATGAAGCAGGTATATACACATAAAGAGATTTATTATAAGAAACTGGCTCATGTGATTATGGAAGCTGAAAATTCCCAAGATTTGGAGGGTAAGTCAGCAAGATGGAGACTCCAGGGAGCCAAAAGTTTAGTTCCAGTCTGAGTCCAAAGGCTTGAGACCCAGGAGAGCCAATGTTGTCAGACTAGTTGAAAGACTGGAAGGCTCAAGACTCAGCAAGAGCTGGTGTTTCAGTTTGCAAAGGCAAGAAAAGACTACTGTCCCAGTCCAAAATCAGGAAGAATTCTCTCTTACTCAGGGCAAGGTCAGTCTTTTTGTTCTACTGAGGCCTTCAGCCCAGTAGAACATGAGGCCCACCCACATTAAGGAGGGCAATCTTCTTTACTCAATCTATCAATTCAAATGCTAAACACCCTCAAAGAAACACACAAAATAATGTTTGATCAAACATCTGGGCAACCCATGGCCCAATTTGTTATATAAAATTCATCACCATAAACATGATAGAACTATGTAGTGTAGTCTTACTGGATGCAGGGAAAAAAAAGTTTGGTTTTTTTTTTAAGATTTTATTTATTTATTTGACAGAGACAGACACAGCGAGAGAGAGAACACAAGCAGGGGAAGCGGGAAAGGGAGAAGCAGGGAGCCCGATGTGGGGCCCAATCCAAGGACCCTGGGATCATGACCTGAGCTGAAGGTAGACGCTTAATGACTGAGCCAGCCAGGCACCCCAAATGAAAGTTTTTAAAAGAGACAAGAAGTTAATGACTTTCATGGTAAACTTAGTTCTCTGGAAAGGTACAGGAAGGATGCCTTGTTTAGTAAGATCACTACCAAAGAGTGGCCACTGCAAGTAAGTTCGCTTAAAACAAAGATACTTCTCTCTTTTTGGCAGCAGGAAATATTTCGGCTAGGGATTCACCTTGAAAACTAAAGCTAAATACATGTAAGTATTGAGAGTGAGAGACTATAGCTCAGACTTCTCTTATGGGATTTACCTTACAGGTGTGAAATGAAATAGATAAGACTAAGTTATCCAAAAGTAGAGCTGCTCTCAGAAGCAAAACTGGCCCAACAGGAAACAAAACACTATCCTCTTTGTGCTGTCTCTTCATCTCTGTCA